CTGATTTTTTAAAAAATATGTAGTTCTGTTTGCAACATTCCCACCTATACTGACAAAAATTTTTAAAGTACCAAGACTGCCAGACTCCTGGGAGGTACAAAAGGAGAATCCAACAAAGAAGAAAACAACCAGTGAACCAGGAACAAGCTAATACTGATAAAGATAAGGCAAAGGAGCAAAGCAATAGCTAACGAATGAACAGGAAAGTACTGAATGGAGAAGGATATAGATGATACTAGTTAGTCCTAAAAAGATGTATGTAGCTTTCACATTTGCATCTTTAAATATTTGTTCATGGTTCACTGTATGAGCCAGCCAATCAAAAACCATGTAAAAAATTTACTGCTACAATTCCATAAAATATTTCTCACATCTGAATATTTATAGATAGAAAATATTTGATGGAATCAGTAACTGTAATTGGCTACTGGCAGAGAGAGTATCTAGAAAAAGCAAAATATTAACATCTTAAACTAAGTGTCAGAACTACACATTCAAATACATAATTGAGAAGTTCAACATGAGGTTTACATTGTTGTCAGATGTAAGTTAGTGAAACTGAGTTATTATTTACTGAATGCCTACTATAGATTGGACATTGTTCTAAGTGTTTAAGGAACAGCACTACACATAATACCCTCAAGGAGTTTCCATTCTAGTTAGTGAAACAGACAATATATAGGACTTTTACGCATGCCAGAAAAACCAAAGCACTATAATATAAAAATGAAAATGTTTATAATGATTATTTCATCTGTGGCATAAACAGTACAAAGTGAAAGATAATTCTCTGAGCTTTAGTGCTAGAATACATATAGTTTAAGAGTTTTCAAGGATTAAATATTCAAAGATTCCTTCAATTATTTCTTCCGTTCAAACCAAAATAACTAATAAAACTTCTAATCTTCTTACTTCCTTTGAAACTACTCCCTAAGTATTGCATGATGAAAACGGAATAGGTACAATTTTAAAGGATTTCACATTATATATTTGTCACAGTTGCTGAGACACTTGACCTTGAGCTATTAGAGAGCAGAAATCTTTTTCTCTTTTTCCTTTTTGTGAATTCAGCACCTGCACAGGGTTTAGAATAAAGTGCAATCTAGAATTATAAAATTTATTACAGAATAATTTTAACCTAATAATGTCAAAGAAAGTGCTTCTAACTTTACCATACCTGAAAAATAACTATCTTGTTCAAGTACTTCAAAGTTCTATTTCTGAATGTTTTGATTAATTAGAAATGGATAAATATTAGTGTACTTAGCTGCTCAGTGCTGCTTTTCAGCCAGTCAGGGCAGTAGAGTCATGGCTCCAAAGTTTAAGAAGATCCACCCAAGCTGGATTATTTAAACTCGCAATAAATAGATGTATTTTCTTGGAAAAATATCTATTGTTACAGTAAAACTTGAGTTTCCTTTCTAACAAGATTGTATGATTACTCGTTTATATTGTTGTTTCCGCAGGAATTCACACACCCCCTGTTTGCATCCTGTTATTCACTTAGAGCTTCCCTTCACTTCTCTATACTGTTTTCCTAGTAGTAGGAGAGTGGTTTTAACTGCATATAAAAATCCTATCAGTAAGCATGATCCAAGTCTTCTCATTTGTAGCATTTAGTATTTGCTCAGATTTTAAAACTTACTTTGAAATATTTATTGCCTGTGTCCTTTCAAAATACTGCATTGCCTTCCTACATCACAAAGACTGTGGAATCTATATTCTACTGATTCTCACTTTCCATCTAATTCTGTGAACAACCTAGGAAACTTTAGGGTACACACTCCACTAAAACCTAAGCAAGCACGTTTATATTCTTCCTAAAATTTTGTACATTTGGATTTGTCTTTCTGAAGGCAAAGAAAAAATTTTTTTTAATAATTCAGGGATAATCAAAGCCAGGTTAAATCACTGCCTCAGACTCATCTAGGATGCATAAGAGAAGGACAGACTCCTTGGTTCTACACAGGCCAGCATGAGCGGGGCAGCCCCAGAATGTGCCCTTGAATAACCTTTCCAAGTTATTCTGATACAAACTGAAGTTTAAAAACCAGTGATGCAAAGGACCTAAAATTAAAGGTAATATAATGGATGGAAGAATGACACAAATAGGGTAGTAAGACCCTACTATTAAATACACCAACAAGAGCTAAGAAAACAATTTTTAACATCTAAGAACTCCAAAATGAGCCCAGCTATGCTGTAATAACATTCTTTATAACTCAGGTTTGAAATCTCCCTTACTTGAGGTATTCAACAGGACACACATGTCTCATGAAAAAATATATACATATATAAATTTACACATTAAACATACATATATTATCTCAGTATATATGTGTATGTACACACACACACACACACACACACACACACACACACACAGTGCTTAGAAAACAGTAGTTACATTAGTGCTTAAACTGCACCTGGCTACTCGGTAAGCAGCTTCAATGATTACCCACTACTTCTTTGAGAGACAAAGAGAGAGAGAGAGAGAGAGAGAGAGAGAGAGAGAAAAGAAGGGACAGAGAGAGGGAGAGAGAGAGCATTGCAAGCAGGCTCAGCACCTTCAGTGCAGACCCTGATGCAGAGCTCAAACTCACGAATCATGAGATCATGACCTGAGCCAAGATCAGGCCAATGCTTAACTGACTGGAGACACCCAAGAGCCTCTTACTACTTCTAAACAGAGCACAATCTATACATTTTTTCTTTTTTAAAAATTTATTTATTTAGAGAGAGACAGAGACAGAGAGAGGGCACTTGTGCCCGCACATGAGTGGCAGACGGGCAGAGAAATAGAGGCTCCCAGGTAGGCTCCATGCTCAAAGGGCAGAGCCCGACACGGGGCTCCATCCCAAGAACTGTGAGATCATAACCTAGCCATAATCTGGAGTCAGATACTTAACTGAGCCACCCAGGTGCTCCTTTTCTCTTTGTAACATTTATAGTTTGACTTCCGTTATATAGGAGCAAGAAATGAAAAGGCAAAAATGACTAACATCAATTCATCTTTACCAGAGTCAAGGAATAACATCTCTCTGGCTTCTAGTCAGTGAACTCTTTAAGGGCAGAGACCAGGTGCTGTGTGTCACAGAACCCCCAGCCACCAGGTCAAGCAGTAAGTCCTGCAGGTGAACTAATGCTGAGGATTAGGACAGCATTCCACAAAGCTGGGAGTGGTTAGTCTATGAGAGGGTCTCCCAAACTTCCATATGCATCGGCCCCACCACTCTACCAGAGTTTTATTCTGCAGGTCTAGGGTGGGCGCAAGATCTGGCATTTCTAACAAGTTCCTAGGTGACACTATTGCTGCTTGTCTGGGGACTACACTTTGAGAACCACAGATCAGGGAGAAGTCCTCAGGACTGTGCTTTACAAATGGTTCCCTGAAAAGAAAAGTAATTGAAAGATGGTTAGGAAGAACACAAGGCATCCAGAAACCAGGTTCTAGTTCTAACTATATCAGACAATTACCATTTAGTTGATAAATACACACACACACACACACACACACACACACACACACACACACACACACCGGTGAATCACAAACAACCCAATCTGGAGATGAAGGATCTGATATAAAGGAAAATTCAGAGACTTTATAGAGAAGTAAAAATTTTAAGTGTCTACTCTGAACTTTTAAACATATAATCTGCCTTGAAATGATTATCCTTATAATCAGTGTGTATTGCTCAAATCACAATTCTTAAACTATATAGCTTTTATCCAAAATAAAGGTCATACAGAGCAAGCAAACAAAAAAATGTCCAGGCTAAACACAGCAAACCATTTAAATATAAACCTATAGGGAAATAACTGTTTTGCAATATTCTAAACACATATTATTAATTCAAGTTTCTGTAGATGTGTCTAGGGCAGCAGTATCAGCATGGTCTGAAAGCTTGTTAGAAATGCAAAATCTTGGGGCATCTGGGTGGCTCAGTTGGTTAAGCATCCAACTTCGGCTCAGGTCATGATCTTGCAGTCTGTGAGTTCTAGCCCACTGTCGGGCTCTGTACTGACAGCTCAAAGTCTGGAGCCTGCTTTGGATTCTGTGTACCCCCTCTGTCTCTCTGCCCTCCCCCACTTGTGCTCTGTCTCACTCTGTCTCTCAAAAAGAAATAAACGTTAAAAAATAATTTAAAAAAAGAAATGCAAAATCTCTGACTACTACCCAAACCTACTAAAAAATCCCATCTTAATAAGATCTTTATGTGACTTGTAGATACTTTAAAGTTTGAGAAGCACTGACTGGGCCACTGAGATTTTATCATTGATTCTTTACTACTATTTGTAAAATAACATGATATATTTAAAAGACTCAACATTTCCTGAAAAAAAAATTTCTGACATATAAACAGATAAAAAGAGAAACTCGGGAATTATTTTACATGAGAAGATACACTGAAACTTCATTTTCAAGCAAAAATTTCCATTAAAATACTTTATTGCTATGAAACAACATGTGATTAGAAGGTAACTTCATGGCTGAGTAAACTGAGGTACAGGGATGCTAAATGATTTGATTAAAATCAAATAGTTTATCATGGCATAATGGAGACTGAAATGTAATTCTGACTCCTATATACTCTTTCTGGTGGCAAAAAATTACATCTTCCTAGAGCATTTAAATACACTGTTAATACAAAAGTAGTAGAAGTGTACATAATATTTTAAAGAATAAATGAAATATCTACTCAAACATGTTGAAGGAAATCAGCAAAAATATGGCATAGTATATGTGTTTTAATCTCTTCATTAAAAAAAGAGAGAGAGAGAAAGACTTTAAAAAATTGCAATGGAAGAAGTGGCACTGGAAACTAAATGGGCATAACTTTCAAACCTATGATTTTCAAAGAATGACGCTACACATCAGGCAAGTAGAAGCATCTTTCTGATGAATGAACCTGAAACACTTATTTTTAGAAATACTACAAGCTTGGCTCTGATAACTTAAATTTTCATATACAGCAAAAAACAAAACAACTTCTTACCATCAAAGAAGCTCTTGGCTCTTAAGTAACTAACACTGAGCCTGAGAACTGAAAGTTTGTCCAGCTTATTAATAACATCTTGTGGAAAAGGCAGCAGGCTAGCCAAACGGTCCAACTCTGTGTTAAGTCGATCTCTATGTCGCTTGGAAGGATTTGACTTGATTCCTTCGGCTGGGATTGGCTTCACACTGGAAAACAAACAAAATACCACAAAATAAGATACATAAAGCTAAATTTCTATTGCATTATAGCTCCTCAAGTGATTCTGTAAAAAACAAAAACACCTAAAAGTCTACTTCAAGTTTACACAAGTCCTTTCAAAATGCTCCTTTGTATCTTAATTAAGAAAAATAAGAAAATGGGTAAAATTCCTCATAATGTTTCATTAAAAGCTTATGAACTCATCTTAAGAAAATCCTGAGTGCATCTTATATACTTCATACTTCCTTCACTTCATACATTTGTGGTATAGTGATTCCCAATAACAAATCCACCAGGATTATTTTTTCAAACCCTGCCACTGTTATGGAAGGAAATAAAAAAGAAATCCGCAATTAATTATGTGAAAATGATGCTTCCTTTGCTATTTTCCACAAGAAGCATCTTGGCATCATTTATGATATAGATAAATAAGAGCTACCCTAAATAAAAAACTTATCTTCATCACCCTCAACTTCCTATATTTAACACTTTCATCCTGTCAGTGACAACTATTCAAAGTCCTCTGGCACCTCCATATGGCCACCTGGGCATTTAATAGGATTCTCCAAAGTTAAAAAAAAATTGGCTTTGGTTATTTATACTTGCTGACTGACAAGTATTAGAGGTTAACTGTGATGACTGGCAAATTTTGCATTTAGGACTTGTCAATAATTCTACTTAATTTATTAGCTTTCATAGCTTATGCCTCAGAAAATTCAATGACACCCCAACGTGTGGCATGATTTTCCTTGAGAGAAAAGATATTAATAGCTAAGAGCCCAATTTGAGTTAAGATATGAGAAGCTGGATAACTTCACACAAAGGCCTTTGCCAGGATTTCACAGCAGAAATTCATTATTTAAAATGAACTGATAGATCATCAGACACACATAATGAAATATACAGAAGATATTAAAAAAACAAAGTAGATCATGCCCCTGAACCTTTCCATTTGCCAGAAAAATAAAAACGTATTCAGGACATTCTTACAACAAAGACATTTCCCTCCAGTTTTTTTGAGAAGACAAAGACATTTTTGACAATTCAAATTATAGTACTTCAAAAGTAGAAATTGGCTCAAGTATAGTGCTGATTTAATCAAATATTTCTAGATGCTCTATGTTTTCAATGTTGTATGTGGAGAAGTAATACTTTACTTAAAAATTAATAAAAAGTCAATAAGGGGGCGCCTGGGGGGCTCAGTCAGTTAAGCGTCTAACTTCAGCTCAGGTCATTATCTCAGGGTTCATGGGTTCGAGCCCCGCGTTGGACTCTATGCTGACAGCTTAGAGCCTAGTGCCTGCTTGCAATTCTGTGTCTCCCTCTCTCTCTGCCCCTCCCCTACTCACATTCTGTCTCTCTTTCTCAAAAATGAATAAACATTAAAAAAATCTTCTTTAAAGTGAATAAAAACTTTAATGTTTGTTATATACTGTCCCTAACAAGTAATTTCTTCAGAACTTATCTATTTCTATTTTTATTACAGTTCATGTCATTTCTACAAAAGTACTAATAAATTAATAAAACATATGGCATATATACAGAATAAATCAGGTACTTTCTCCAGACTGCATAATTGCATATTTAACAGAAATTGATAACTGTTTCTCTATTTTTCCTTTATCATACTGCAATTATAATCAAATCCAAGTCATCTTAAATTTCTCCAATCAATCAAGTGGTTTTCAAATGTTAACCGATAATGCATGTCTACCTCACGGAATAATTCTCTACTGACTAATCTCTTGTTAACACAAATATTTACTTGCACTTATCATGTTTTGGATAGTTTAGGAAAACATTCTTCTCCTCTATATTCAAAAAGTGTTATGGGAGCAAAGTATGTGAGCAACTACCTACCTGAATTAAGATTTTTATAGACAAGGTGGTATCTGAGATGGACCTTTAAAGATGAATGGGATTTCAGGAGGAGGCAGGGCTGAGAAACAGTGACCTGTGAAAAGTCCCACGTCTGGAGCATGAAGCATAGAGCACAAGAGAGAGGAGAAGGGGAAGCTGTTGGGGCCCCATTCATGCAACAAATAGGAACCACCTACCACGGGCCCAGCACAGAAGACTCCGCAGTGAACTATATGTACTCAAGTTCCTGTTCTCATGAAGCTTACATTCCAATGGGAGGAAACATAAATAAATAGATGAATGAATAAATACACATATAAATTTCAGACCTGCTATGTGTTAAGAAGAAAAATAGAGCAAGATAAGGAACTGGAGAGTGACAAGTGTGCTGGTTTTGATGGGCAGGGAAGTTCTCTACTGTTACATTTCAGCACTGACATAAATACAACAAAGGACTGAGCCATGTGGGTATCTGATGAAAAAATGTTCAAGACAGAGCAGTCAGTTTCCTCACAGAAATGGTATAAAATTAGACTCTGGTTTCTGGGAGTAATCTTAAGCTCTGAGCTGGGATTTACATGACCAGTCTTGTGTTTTTACTAAGCTGAGTCTGGCGATGGAGAGGATGAAATGTAAGGCAACTCTCAGTGAAGCTAGCACTTGTTTCTAAAATACAAAGCTACGTCACTCCTCGGATTTAAACCTTTCAGTAGCTCTGGACAGTCAATGTTTCTTAGCCTAGCAAACAAAACAGTCCTTGGTCTTTTATAGCCCCCTAACTATTCCTCTGGCCTCATTTCCTCCAGCCAAAGCTTTTCTTGTCCATTATAAAACAGACAGAAGAAAGTATATAGTTAACAATATATACTTTGGTACTTTCATGCACATTACTCATCAGAATCCTCTTGTTCTGTCTCATCAGCTACAAAGTCCTGCTCAGTTAGATCACTTCTGTAAAGTCCTCCCTGACCTACTCAAAATGGATCCCTCTTGTACTCCTTCTGTATCTTATGCATCTTAAGCAAACGTCTTATACAACCATTCCATTAAGGAACATCCTGTGCAGACAGCATTTCCAATAAATTGAAAAGGAAATTTCATCTTGCACTCTTTGGTAGCTTTCCAGTAATGATTATAAAACACTGGGGAGAAGACAGTAACACAAACAATGAACCAAGACAAACTGATATGACACAGAGAAATAACAATCACAGTACAAAAAAAAAAAAAAAGCATTCAAGATATTCCTCCATGAGGTCCTGCTGTCCATCTTGCGGGGGCTCTCTGTAGTATGCAACCATGAGCTAGATGAAACTACTTCTCTGCACAACGTAAAACTGTCCACAGCTCTAATGTGTTATCATACACATTATGGAACATTTAGCATGAGATCAAATTTCTTGTTATGTAACAGGTATTACTTAGACCTGTTTGTTGCTCTTATGTCTATGTAAACTTGATCGTTTTGTATCCCCATTGCACAGCATAGTACTAGGCACAGAGTGGACTTTCAATTAATGTCTGCTGATCGAAGTATCTGGAAAAAGAGTTACCAGGGCCTGACCAAAGGCCTGGCATGAAATACTTTAAAAACAGCACTGTGTGCCTATCATAAAGCTTGCTATATAGCAAGACTCAAATGTTTGCTGACGGGGCAGAGGAAATATGGAAGAGGAAAACACTGAATGAGGAAGAAGGAGCTCATGGTAACGACTTTATCTCCTAATGGAAGGTGCACCAAACATAGAGAGCGAGACTAGGTGACAGAGCTTGATGATACGGACCTTTAGGTATAACAATGAGGAAGAGGTATGGGCAAAAACAACAGAGGAGGAATTATAAGAAGACAGGAAAAGAACCAGGCTGGACTATTCTGGACATTACAGAACAAAATCAAATACATTGAAAAATTAAATAAAGTCATACCTGAGAAGTACCCACCAGATGTGGCATTTCAAATGCACTACTGTTAAAGCTAAAGCTTTAGCTAGCTAAACCCACGTGGCATCCTTTGTCATTGATTTTGTGAGAAACGTTCGGAACTATTTTGTGAAAGTATTTCCTACTTATCTATATATCTTAAAGATATGCATAATAATTAGAGATCGAGAGTAGTATTACATCAGTTACATGTGACTTGGGTTATGCCAGGACTTTTCATTTGTATCACCTTTAAATCTATGCCAAAATACACTGCCAACTACCTGTTTAGATGAGAGGCTATATTTGAAATATAAACAAACAATCCTGTAACTTTAGACTTAGGAGATCTGAAGTTAAGATCTCTCTTGACATAGAGACACCACTGATGTTGATATAGCAAAGGAGCAATTTATTATTTTCTTAAAACCTTACCTCAAAAACCTTGTCCCAACCTGCAAATCACAACTGTTGTGAAATCAAGACTCTAGCTGACTGCAGGCCGTGTGTCTGTTTTTGAAGCCCTGCGTGCTCTAAGCACTGCTGCTGACAGGCCCAGCACCATGTCCAATGCCAGTATTAAAGCCTTTCTAATATCCCAGTGTAGAATGTCTGTTAGACTCCTCACTTGTGCCCAGGGTTGAAAACAAAGTTAAAATTTTAACTCAGTTCAATCTAGGTTACTATTAAGTTACCATAACTGTAAGTTACTGTAACTATAAATGTTTAAGTTTTTATATGACATTTATCATAAAACCTCAACTTTCACGCAAAGATAGAGTTTCAGTCATCCTGTGAGATTAAAGCAACATCTTCTAACAGAGATTACCTACCACAGTACTGAGTGTGCTCTATCAGCTTTTTCCTCTTGGTGATTTAATCTATGCTCCTTTAGTCTATGTACCAATAAATTGTTTATCTGTTTATATTTTCCAGGATTTAGGCATCCCCTTCTTTGCATGTGACATGGTACTACTCTTCACTTTAGCCAACAGCTAGGAAACTGAAATAATCCTCAATAAATCTCTGCCCCATACTGACTTTACCCAAGCTATTCATTCATCGTTTCCACCCCAATGGCTTCAGTGTGTACTTATTTATCTCTGAAAGTAAATGTTAAATGTTTAAAGTCATAAATTCTATGATTAACGTAATGTTGGAGAGGTGATCTGGGACACAAATAAAGACACAGTTCATTGGCAGGCTG